AGTGCCCATCTGCAAGGCTGAGGGACAGCAACCCCCCAGGAGGGAGCAGCAAATTGGTCTCCAGTGTATTTGGAGACTCAGAAGAGTACAGCCTTGTCCCATGGGATTTAACCATTCCCTGCCTGCATGGTGGAAATCCAGGTCTCTGTGTGTCTCCTCAGAGTGGGGTAGTGATGTACCAGTTTGCAGTGTACAATGCTGCAGCCACCAGCTCCAAAAGGAGTTCAAAAATGGAGCTATGCCTTTCTGCTTTTGGAGACACAGTTGAGGGAAGCAGCCAAAACTGCCTTGAGAAAACCCATATATAGTCCCTAGTTTCCTAAAGTATGGTTCAAATCCAGATGCCACCATGCTCCATAAGCATGAAAGACCCAGAGGAGTCACCCGTGTCTGTTTGGAACCATCACCATGCAGCATGTGCACAAGGAGGAGAGCAGAATCCCATGGGATGAGTGTGAGACGTGGTGGGTCCAAACAGGATGTGGGGTGTGCTGGTACTGCAGCCAGGACGTGCTGCATCAGCAGAGGAGAGGGACACAGGACCCAGATCCCTCCGAGGGTGGTTTAACATGCCTGTCTGCACCACAGCCTGCTCCCACTGCCGTGAGGTTAAAATTCCCCTTAACATGTCCACTATTTAAGTGCCTTTCACTCCCTCTGAAGTAAGCCCACCAGCCAGCCCTCGACTCTCTGGGTTAGGCTTCCTCAGCTTATCCGCCCATTAATCATCACATCAGTCGCTTGCAGACGCAGATGGTCCTGAAGTACCAGCAACACCAATAACCTCAGGGACGTGGCTGCCTTCCTGGTGCACCAGGGGAATGGATACAAATGGGTCGACTCAAGGAATAAAACCCAGAAGGAACCAGAACCTCGGAGCCACCAGGAGTCCCAGTGCCCAAGGGCAATGCCATGCAGCAGATGGGCCAGAAGCAGCTCCCAGTGGCCAGATGGCTGGGATAGGAAATCCATTTTGCCAGTTTATTCAAGTTGACTCAGGGTCATATGGTCCCTTCCAAGGCTTTCTCTTGTGCTAATGGAGTTTAGCCCTTTTTGCCCTCCCTGGAACAGCATAGTCCTCCTTAAACCATTAGGGGATGGTAATACCTGAGGCTTCAGGGAAGCCTTCCTGCCCTGCTGGGAAAGACTAATCCATCAAGGGGAAGCAAAAAGGGAGAAGGGACATGGGGAGAAAGCCAGGGATGAGTAGACTAAAGCTATTCAGCAGACATCCCCTAGCCCCAGACCAAGTCCTCTGTGACAAGCCTGTAACACTCATCTGAAGTGCTATCACCCGGGCTCCAGTGAGTGTTTGTCTTTATCCGCAATAGAGCCAGATGCCACAGCAACAGGGGATTATCCAGTAACAAAATAAACAAGTAACAGCTCTCCCCAGCTGGATCAATGTTAATCCAGTGCCCTGGGCAGTGAGCACACCCTCAGACCCAGCAGCAGGGCTAATCAAAAGGATGGAGAAGCCCTCAGCACCGCTCGCTCCACGGCTGCAGGAAGAACAAAGTCTCTTCACTAAACATCACTTGGGGACACACAAGCAAAGTGATGGGCACCTCGTCCCCGTCCTAAGCCTCCTGCAGCTCCACCATGATGGGCCCTCAAGCTCTGTGGCTGGGGACCAACACTCCTTGGGGTGCTCTGTTCCTGCGCTGGTCCCATGGCTCAGTCACTGCAGCTCCTGCCTCCTCCTCCAACCTTTATTTAGACGCTATTGATTTAGTTCAGGAGCTGGAAATGCAGTTTAAGTATTTCAGTGAAACGTGGTGTCATGGAGGGATGATAAGAAGGGAAGAGTCTAAGGATGCGCTTGGGAAACAGGGATGGGGAAGAGGGGTCGGGACCTCCAAGATCCCGCCCTTCACCCAGGCAGCCACAGGCCTGCTCTGCACCCCATCTCTGGCACTTGAGAAATTAAGGGAACCTTTTTAAATGTGAGAAATGAAGCAGAGAGAGTAAAAGCTGTGTGCCTAAAGAGACCAGCCAAGGGGAGGTGGCTGGAACTGGGACCAGCTCACATCTGTGCCTTCTCCCCCGGGCCAGGCACACAAAACCTAATAGGCTTTGTCTGGTCTGGCCACGCCATCCATGAATCCGGGTTGATGGCTGAAAGATGCTTTTGATGCTTCCTAGTAACATGCCAGCCCCATGCTCTCTGCTGTCCCTGCACCTTCACTGCAGGCTGGTGGCAGTGGGCTGGTGAAGATGGAGATAGGGAGGCATGGCACAGTGCAAAGGGAGAAGATGGCACAAGGAGGGCCTCGGGCTGGGCTGGTGCAGCTTATTAATTGTTTTTGTTCAGCACTTGGTGCATCTTTCAATATTCATCAGCCTGTGATGAAGGAGAGCTCAGAGCTATCGTTAAATATTGATGGGCCAGGCTTGGCAGGCTGCCTCCTGCTCACACTCCCCCCAGCCCCGGAGAGACTCCCAGCTCGGGAAGAGCTGCTTGGCTTTCCCAGGAAAACCCCCATGTGCCCAGCAAGGTGGGTAAGCCCCAAGGAGGCAGTGGGGAAACAAGGCACCCATGCAAGGCCAGAGCTGCCCCACATGCTGAGAGGTGTGGGGGACTGCCTGGTCCCCTGGAGAAGGGAAGGCTGGTGGGAGCATGACTGCAGCCATACACACCAGCATGCATCCTCCCTGCACCAGCCTACACAGCCAGAAGCCACCAAGCATCTCGTTCCCTCCTTCCCAGACAACATGAACCCATATGGGCTAAACTACAGCAAGAACATCCCATGGGTGACTCCTGAGTTAGCTGGGTCCAGGTGGTCCCACATCCCTCATACCTGCATGTAGACAGGAAAGGAGATGCCTGACAACAGACTGACAGCCAACACCAAAGCCATCACTGATGGCATCCCCAGTGACAGCAGCTCAGAAGAGCCTGGGCACTGTCCCACAGCTCCTACCCCCCCGGAATGGTCACTCACCTCCTCAGAAGCAGCTTGGGGTGGTTCTTACTCTCCAGGTTCTTCTCAATGAGGTCGGAGAGGAGCTGCTTCAGCACGCCCGTGGCGTACTCCATCTCGCCCTGCAGCGCCGTCATGATGAGCGAGGCCACGTTGCCGCGGTCCCGCATGGAGAAGCTGCGCTGAGCCTCCAGCGTGCGGATGAAGGTCAGCAAGAAGTGCTTCTTGTTCAGGAGCTGCCCAAAGAGGGTCAGGGACTTCTCCACGTTTGCCTGGACCTGCAAGGATAGAGCAAAGCTGGGAGATGGGCACGAGCGGGAGGGCAATAAGGCGGCAGCTGGACTACACAAGATGCTGGATTCATCCTCATTCCCCAAGAGTAAAGGATGAAAATGGGTCGAAAAGCAGCTGGATTTGCTCTTTTCATATTACCAAGCTTCCTCTTTGGTGATCAGCCCCAGTTCCCTCCAAAAGTATTATCTAGTTTGTAGTACCTCAGCATTAAGTTAACACAGGGCATTGATGTATATAATGTATACACATACATACACGCACATCCATACAAGGAGTCTCTCCCACACGTGTATAGGCACATACACATGTTTCCCTCCCATAAC